TAATGGAAGTAGGTGCTGGTACCGGGTGGACGATCTACCCACCTTTAAGCGTTATAACCAGTCATTCTTGAGGAGCTGTGGATTTAGCTATTTTTAGTCTTCATTTATTCGGTGTTTCCTCAATATTAGGTGCTATCAATTTCATTACGACCATTTTTACCCTTTCTTCCTCTCTCATAGGAGTGTACTATGTCGGGAGCGGTTTCTAAAAGTTGTGTTCAAGTAAACCACCTGTCGTCCTCTGGTTCCTGGTATGCAAACTTGACTTTGTATTGCTTCTGAGATCGACCTCGTCCTCCGGTTCGGAACACGCCCCCTTCGACTATGCGATCCATGTCATAGGCACCATCCATGTCGGGCGGAATCATTGATCTCTGCGAAGGAAACCTGTGAGTGGTGGTGCACGACAGTAGCTTTGACACATGGAAGACTGGGTACGTGTGGAGATGTGATGGGATCTCTATGGTGTATGATGGTCCGTCCTCTCCTGGTTCGACTTCTAGGATGGGCCATGATTCTCTGTACGCAGGTAAGAGCTTCGATGAGATATTCTCCCCGGGTGCGACCTCTTTAGACTTGACCTAGACTAAGTCGCGTACCTGAAACTGCGAAGGTCGGCGATGCTTATTAGCTTGCTCAATCATACGATGCTGGGCCTTCCTCAAATTGTCGATCATTCTAGCGACTTCCTTCTCGTGCTGCAGTACAAACTCTCGGGTGTCGGGCGATATTCTTTGGATCTGATCCCGTTTCAGTCCTTCAAATGGTCTCCTTGGCCTAAAGGACTTATGCAACTCGTTGGGAGTCCTATCGGTAGCTAGATGAACACTGCTGTTATATGCGTTAGCTACCTTGGGAAGCATCTCGTCCTAGTTCACCTGATCTGGTCTAATATACATTCTGAGTAGTTGTTGCAAGATCTTACGTATTTGTTTCGTCTGACCGTTTGTCTCTGGATGACGGCATGACGACATCAACAGGTTAGATACGTATACTCTCATAAGATCCTGCCAGTTCTGGCTGGTAGCCCGCGTGTCTCTATCGCTAACTATGGACAACAATAAACCATGCTCGCTCACCCAGAAGTCAAAGAATTTCTCTATTTTTTCTGTACGCGCTTCGGAAGGTAATCGGACAAAAACTGCATACTTACTAAATTGATCTACTCTGATCATGACTTGACGTTTGCCATGCCTACTTTTGACCCCAGTATCCATTAAGTCGATGGAAATTGACTCTCCGGGTCCTGATGGAATAGGCAAGGGTCTGAGAAGACCTAGAGGTGCTCTAGTCGTCGATTTATTATGTTGACAAACTTTACAACTGCGTACATACTCAATGTAATTTGTCTTCATGTTGGGCCAAGTATAGTGCCCTTATGTATTGTGACATTGTCCTAAGATCAAACTACAGATCTGCTCGTTGTTAGGGATGCATAGTCTGTCGACGACATTGGTCTTCTCAAACAACAACCAGTTTGTGGTTCGATAGTGCGGTTTGCTATCTAGGGCCTACTTCACTCTTTTCAACAGATCGTTGTAAATCGGATCGTGAGCATAAGCATCTCTCACTTTCTGTTGCAGATCTGCCCCTATGTCTCGATAGTGCACAATTGCGCCAAAGTAATTAGCTCTCCTACTCAGAGCATCGACTACCACGTTATAGTTTCCTTTAGTGGGCTTCAATTCCAAGTCAAACTGGTCTATCTCAGCAGTCCATCTAGTCAACTTGGGCGTCATCTTGTCTTGGGTCTTTAACCATCTAAGGGTCTCGTGGTCTGAATACACTTTGAAGTGCCTCCCAAACAGGTGGTGCCTCTAGTGATCTAAGGCCTGCCTGAAAGCGTAGAGTTCTCTCTTGTATGTCGATGTTGCAACCTTCTCTGAGGGCAGCTTGACTGACATGAACTCTATGGGCCTGTAACCATTGTCGTCATCTTGCTATAAGACGACATATAAGCCACACTAACTAGCGTCTGTAGTGACGAGAAATGGTAATGACGGATCGACGACTTCGAGGACAGGATACTCAATCAAGGCCTCCTTCAATTTCTTGAGGGCTCACATGCAATCTTGGTCCCATTGCCAAATAGCTTCTTTCTTTGGCAGTCTACGCAAGGGAGCGGCTATGGTAGAGAAGTTCCTGACGAACTTTCTATAGTAGTTAGCCAATCCAAGAAATGATCGCAGCTCTGTCAAGGTGCGAGGAGTTGGTCAATCTCGAATATATACGCTATCTTGCTGTCCTGAGACCGGATATTGTCTCCATCCAATACATGACCTAAGTAGAGGACTTCAGTCTTAGCCCATTTGCACCTCTTCGGGTTGATCTTGAAGTTAGCTTCTCGTAGCTTTTCCAAGATCTGCCTGAGGTGGCCCTCATGTTTCTCGAGGGTCTTGTTGAAGACTAAGATATCATCTAAGTAGACTACTACAAATTTGTCTAACCACGGCCTGAACAAGTCATTCATACAACGTTGAAAGGTGGCCGGTGCGTTAGTAAGTCCAAAGGGCATCACCATGAACTCTTAATGCCCGTACCTAGTCCTGAACGTCGTCTTGTGCTGGTCATCAGGGTGCACTTCTATCTGATGATAACCGAACTTTAAATCAATCTTTGAGAAATACTTGCAACCTTGCACCCGATCTAAAAGATCATCAATTCTGGGAAGCGGTTCTGCATTCTTTATGGTGATGGCGTTCAAACCCCTGTAGTCTATACACATACGTAAATCTCCCTCTTTCTTTGGGACAAACAAAACAGGTGTGCGGAAAGGAGATGCGGTGTTGGATAGGTCTTGGCATTACAGAACTGGGCCTAATCCATCCTTTGTCTAGGAGCTCATCTAACTGCTTACGAAGCTCCTCTAGTTCTTTGGGAGACATCCTGTAAACTGCCCCTTTGGGCGTTCTACTGCCAGGCTCTATGCCGATGCAGTGCCGGATAGGTCCTGGCATTACCCCTGAAGGTGCCTCATATTTATATTCCTCCAATAGATTGGCAATAGTGGGATGGATTTTCTCCTCTTCCTTTGGCTTATCAGAAATCGGCCTAACGTAGGGTACGAACACCTGCTCTTCAAGCTGCTCCTTCCGCACAAGTCTGGTGAATGTAGGAGCGCCGAGGCAACAATGTGTAAGGAGATTGTCTACCTCAGACTCATGGTATAGGCGGACTTGCTTAACTTCGCCTGACGGACTAGGGAGCCTGCACTCGTGCTCTCTAAGGTGCAAAGTGGCTTTTGCTGGCTCCCCCCAATCTGTACCCAAAACTATATCAAATGGGAGATTCTCTTCGACAAGGAGAGTCAAAGAATGAAGGACCTTTTTAACCCTAGGCGGAAGTATGGATGGACTCCTTCAACGTACTCTTCGACTCGCATCCTACTATTGTCAACGAGGATGCTGACTACAGGCTCTCACAACCGTTGGACCTTTAAGTTGAGCGTTAATCTTTTCAACGCTTTGCGACTAATATAGCTCCTAGTGGCCCCACTATGTATGAGGGCTCCTACTCTAGCTCTAAAAATTTCTACGTCTGCGAGGATCTGTTGTCCTTTCCCATCCTTCTTCATCTTGGCCCAGGCTTGCCTCCTCTCCTTCAATTGTTCAGCTAAGCTTGTGAGGGAAGCGACTAGAGAGACTGTGACAGAAGCAGTCTTTGGACAACTTACAAGATGCTGGCCAGCAACCTCTGCCATGGAGATATGTGGAGTGGGAGACTTTATCTTGCATGCACGCTCATATCCACATACTCCTGGGGTAGGGGCAGTTGCAACCCGTAACGACGGTTGTCTTTTGTTGCCCCCGAAGCAGTAACTTGGTCCCTATACTTTGGACATGACTTTATAATGTGGCCAGGATGCCCGCAGAACATGCACTGGAATCTATTTATGCGCTCTTGCCACATGTTCTGCCCAATTCCCAGATCCTCCCAAGGTTGACCCTCCCAAGGTCGACCCTCGGGCAGACCTGGGTGCCACCTTCCTTGTCAGGGAGGTGATTGACTCTAACGCGGACAGTTAGACAGGGGACCTTGACCCCTTCCTCCCGCTTGGCGGTCCCTGTTGCCGCCAACCCCCTGGTCGCCCTGCCTTCGGCCACCTGGGGCCCGATCATTTCGGCCAGGCCCTCTTCCTTGCGGCCTCCCCCCGACCGCGACAATAGCGTAGGTTCTCCCTTGCTGTACCGCACTGTCTCCTTCCTCAAGTCCCCAGTTAATGTCTGAGTAGGGAACATCCTCAACACCACCTCCTTCAATTGTTAGGATCAAATTATCCTTGGCCTTAACCTGCCCTGAGATGGTGCGACCCCCTTCCACGTTTTCCCCTTTGTCAGATCCTTGTGCCAGAACTTGGTAACTGGCGACGCTTGAGCAGCGAATGAAACAACCTCCCTGCTAAGGACATCATAAGTCATTCCTGGGAGTTGCTTTTTATCAAAGAAATGCCCTTGCACATGCTCGGGCAAAGCGCGGTAAAAGAGTTGGACTAACTGTGCGTCAGTTGCCGCATTCCCGGGTATTGCGATCAACTCATCCATGGCGGACTTAAGGGCGCGTACACTCTTCGACTGCCGTGTATGGATCATCTACAATTTGTCAGAGGCTTTAAGCCCTCACGTGATTGAAAATCGTTCTCTAAGTGCCTTGAGGAATTCAGAGAGGGGGGTTATCCTGGAATATTGCACCATATCGTTTTCACAGTGTGCTGCATATGCAAGCGACCTTGCAAAGCTTGTCGCTTCCTCCCTCGGGGCCTAAAAGGCCACTAGGACATGATCTTCTGGTGCTACGCCCTGTAGATATAGATAGGAGTTGACCTCCACCTTCTTTCCACTGAAGGGCTCAAGGAAACGGACTTTGACTTTCTCGCGGCATGGGGCAGGCTCCTCTTCGTTGGAAGCCGCTAACTTGGCACCTTCTATGGCGCCTGTGCAAACTTTTATGTCCTACTGATCGCAAGATGAATCCGGCTCGCATCGACTCCAACGCGATATCATGGTTGCGAAGATGCTTCATTTGCTCTCTCTGCGCGGTCAGTAGGGACTCTACATTGTGAGTTAGGGTGTCGAGTTTGGTTCCTATCTCGGTCTCTTCCCTGATCTTCCCCATTCTTGTTTTTGCGCCTTCAACTCCTTATCTAACTTCTTTGTCGCCTCCAGGCGCCTTATTCTTTCTTGTGTCAAGCGCAATTTCCATTCCAATTGCTTTTCATGTTCCCTTGCTCGTCTGCGCAAGGGTTCCCTCTCCTCCTCCAATTCTCTCCTTGCTGCTTCTCTCTCGGCCTCGGGTACCATCAACTCCTCTTTTCTCTCCTCTCCCAACTCTATATGTGATGCCCACTCATTCACTGTTTTCTGAACCTCTTCTTGTGTAACCTTATTTGTACTCGCCTCCCCTCTTCTTCTTTGCAAGGCATCCTCTTCCTCGACCTCTTCTTCTTCTACTTCTTCTTCTCCCACTTTTGCCTCTACTGCTGCCATCTTCTCCTCCTGGTCCTTCCACTTTTCCAGTTCTTCCTCCATTTGCTTCTTCTTCGCTTCCTGCTCCTCTAGCGGGGCCAACATCTTTGCCTGCTTGATCAGTTCCCTCTTCTCCATCTTCTCCTTTCTTTCCCTCAAAAGGGAAGCAACTCTCTCTTCTTGTTCTCCACTGTAGGTAGTGGTGCTCACTCCGGTCCTGGTGGTCACCATGGTGAAAGTGCACAATCACAGATGATTCCGCTCCTCAACATGTAGACCTACCAGTCTGACTCTCTAGGACTACAAAGTTCGCTCCTTAGTTTCAGCCAGGTTACCACAGCCGATGGATGCTTTCGCAACCACTGTCACCGAAACTTTCCACAATCGACGGAAGATTTCGCCACCAAACCCACCTGGGTTCCACTTTAGATTGAAACCCTGTCAACTAGATCTCTAGCCTAGTCTACTCTCAGGCTGTCACTACAGGACTCACTGGTCGATCAAGAGGCATTTAAGGAGATCCCCCATAACTCCTCAAGAATTCTTTAACGTCACAGACAGGACGACGCGATCAGCCGAGTCCTCTCAAGACTTAGACAGCTGGACGCACAGCCCACAACTCGGAGTTCGGGCCTACCACGCCACACTGAGCAGCCCGTCGGTCAGTACCGATCCTTGGGGGTCTTGTTCCCGGGACGTGTCAGTCGTCAGACACGGCCTTTAGCCTTACTAAGTCCCGTGTGGGTTTGGGCTCGCAGCTCTACAACCACATCCATAGAGTCCTATCGAAGAAGTGACAAGGAGATATGACAGACTCTGACAGACCTGACGTCAGCAAGTACCAAGGTGAGGGTGCACATCCACAGGGTAATGGCTAGGCCAGGGCTTGGAGAATAATACCGCTTGTCTTCTCGCTCCAGCTTGGTTAATGCTCTGGTCAATGGTCTTGGTCAACACGTCGGTCAACAGAATTGGTCAATGCTCCGATCAGCCTGGTCAACGCCAGTCAACACGCCGGTCAACGGTATTGGTCAACACTCCGGTCATCCCAGTCAACGCCAGTCAACAGCCTTGGTCAACCTCCGGTCAATGCCAGTCAACAGCCTTGGTCAACCTCCGGTCAACGCTGGTCTTCCTTCACCTTGGCTATAGCCATTTCACCTCCCTCTTCGTCAACGTCCTCCTTTCTCTCTGCGTCACTTCTTCCTCCTCTCTTGTTGGTCATCTTCTTCTCCCATCTTGGCAGCTATGGCTGCCTTCTGCTGTGGCCTCCTTCTCTCTCTCTCTCTGTCTCTCTCTCTCTGCAGCCCTCCAGCTATGGCGGCTTCTCCCTTCTTCAGCTTGCTGTAGCTCCGACGTGGACAACGGGTACCAGCTCCGATACCAGTGAAATCAGACTGCAACTCAAACTTGCTTGCAACATGCATACATGAGTGAACTGATGGAAAAACAACTTCTTCAACTCGGAATCAACAACGAACTTGCACTGGCGCCTTGCACCCACACAGAAACTCAGGGATATGTCTTCCACTCAAAACTCAGTTCAAACCAACTGTACAACTTGCGGCTATGGCCGCCGAATAGTGTCTCCACCACCAGCCTCAATGTCTCTCATGCACGCACATATGAGGATCCACCTTGAATATCCACGCCATACACACACACACACTGTACACCAAGTTGACGTCAACAGCTTGGCGGTTATGGCGGCCGTCGTCTTCCTCCTCCTAGCTATGGCTGTCGTCGTCTTCCTCACTGTCCCCTTCGGCTTCGGGCACCTGCAGACCTCCACGCACAAGTCACCAAGGCAGCGCTTCAGCATGGCTCACAGGCGAATGAATGAATGGCTGATAGCTGCCTCTTTATTTATACTCCTCCGCGGGTGGCCTGGCCCTGCCTCAAAACTTGTGGGCCTGGGCCCCAAACCGTTTGGCCCTGGGCCTGGAAGCCTCCAGAATGCGTCGGCATGATGGGCAAAAACGCGTGGAACCTGTGTGAAACCGCATGGGACCCTCACCACTTGCCTGGCACTTGCTGACTGGACACGGTTCAGACAGCCCTACAACCTTCTAGACTGTTACATCTTCGACGCCACACGGGTCCTACCGGACCCGACTTAGGGCCAAGGGGACACAGTAGGGCCTAAAGGCCCGAACTTGGGGTACAGCAGGCTGTAAAGGCCACATTTTGGACCAGACCTGACGGGCAGGCCCAAACGACATTACGGTTTGGGCCTGGCGGCGCTCTTGAGGCTGCCGCCCGCCGGTCTGATCTGAACCATCGATCTTGACGGTTCAGGTCACGACCAGGCCTTGCAGCATTGAGGCCGGCCTTTGCCTTACCGGTACTTAGAGACCGGCCGGCCTCACTTGGAGGGATCGAGCGACTAGACCGCTGAGTGAGCGCCAGTCCGTTTCGGTTCAGAGGAGCGTTAGCGCTGCGCTATTCTTAGCGCAACTCGGAGGTAGCGCAGCAGCGCAGCAGCGAGCAAGGAGCCAGGAAGCATCCCATCGGCAGCTTGGCGACCATCGCTGACTTCGACCTGCAGTCGGTTGCAGCGAGCCAGGTACTCGGAGGCGAGGATCTTTCTCCTCCCTCCACAGTCACCGGCTCCCCTCCTCCTCACCT